CACCTTCAATCATCACCAATGATATCAATTCTACTACTGTTGATTTTATCCTACAACACTTTCTCTCTTGTGTAATAAATCTGTTTAAAAACTGAGTCAGTATTAAATCAACCGCTGAAAAAAAAGCTAAAAAGCAAGTCAGAAGTTCATAAAAACAAAATTTCTAAAGATGAAATTCTCCTTGTTGAACATTTTACCACATGTTCAAATAAAGCAAACTAATCTCTGTTTAACATATGGTGTACATTTTTATATTGTGATTTTTTTTTATTGTTGTAAAGTAATTTTAGAAAAATATTTAATTATTGCGGGTATGGATCTTGGATACATTTTGATTTCTGTCGAAAATTCAATGCGTATCAGTATTAGCCTTGTTACATTTGATATTATTATTCTTATAAGACGGAAAGACTTTCCACTTTTGACAATCAAATCAGTCATATATGGTTTTTGAATATGTGATACTTTCACTAGTATTTTAAGCAGTCATTTTTTTGCATAGTTTGCCTGTAGGGATTTGATTTGTTTTTTCCAAGTTTCATAACGGACTGATATCAGTTAGAGAACTGTTTTAAAGCCTGCAAGGAGTACTGGACAGCCGTTGCGTCAGCCTAGTTTGGGATTCATCGATGATTCGAACGTTACGATGAAAAAGCGGGCTCGTAGACCATTCATTGGCCATCTCATGGATTCCAACTTCTATCAAATGTTGATTTCAGCGTCACTGGTATCAGATAATGTCATCAAACAATATTTGTCCTCACTCCCGATCAGGCGAACCTCACTGGTTATGAGTTTTCACTAGAACTCTAGGAAATGTCGTCCTGTAGATAGCCACCAGCTAATATCAGAATAATTCTAAAGGGTTAAGTTTGTAGGCATTCGATTTGTTCCAAGTTTGGCCAGTTAGAAATCAGTAAGGAGTACTGGACAGCTCTTTTGCTGTAGTTTGCAACTCATCAGCATTATGCGCTTACCGAGTTTCGAATACGGGACTATTTTCATCACAAACATTATAGAGTACCCCAAAATTTTGTAAAGCTAATTAAACAGCCTTATTGATGACGATATATGCCAAGTGTTTCACCATGGAAGACTAAGCAAAGCTCTTCAAATAAGTACAGTAGTAAGACAAGGCTACATAATTTCATCGATGACATTCCTAAGTTTGATGGACTGGATCATGTAACAGACCCTGGGTATCAAGAAGACAAGGATACGTTAAGCTGATAAAGAGAGTCCAGGAGATTTAGACTGCTTGGATGATTTATTCCTAATGTCTCATAAATTCGAAGGTCTATGGGTGAAAACCAAAAGAAGGATAGAAGAAGTTGGAAAGGAGTACAAGACTACAGCTGAACACAAAGAAGATGGAGGAGACGATGACCAATCACTATCCATGGGAGAGGGTAAGACGAAGATGATTCTTTTGTTGCAACTACAGGTGGAGGCATGGATAAGGATGTCAAAGTCTGAGTGAAATTAAGAAAATACACGACAGGCCTTCATTAATCTAAAGTTAGTATGGAAATCTTCTGCATTCAGTATAAAGGACAATATACGAATTCAAATACTAATGTAAACTTAATAAGGGGTCCTATAAAATTCAATAACATGGTGTGTGCGTCACAAAAACCATTTTCAGCAGGCCACTGCTAACTTCCATTTACAGCTACCTTCACATTAGCTTCAAATGTAAGTATTCCTAAGCTAAGGTTTCCATGTCTCTCTAAACATTAGCTTCTGTAATAAAAATATTGTTACAGAATAGAAATAATGAGAGATGCTGACTTTGTTAAAACCGTAGGTTCACTTCGGTAACTCAGAAACCGAATGGTCACCTGCCTTCAGTTATCCAGAATTCAATATGGTAAAAAATCTCCTAATCCTGACAAAATACATCATGACACATATGAATTAAAGCGGTATAACGCGGTGAATTTATTCACCCTTTAGACAGTCATATTTATCACTGACTGCGCTTTCGATACTAGACAGCTGCCCATTTGAACCATGATAGATGGTGTCAAATTCAAATCAATGACCAAAAACCTGGATGGAACTCAAAGAATTATGTCTTACAACATATTTTCAATTCAATAGTCAGATACGCAAACAGATATAAGGAACACCAACGAGATCGCCCACACCACGACTAGTAGCTGAAAACGTTATGAAAAGATTAGAATTGATAGGCCTACCAAAAATTAAACTGACAATCTTGACACGTTATGTTATGTTGACGATGCATTCGTAATAATTAAAAGAAGTGTGATTTGGATCACACCCACAAACTTATCAGCAATATATTTGAAGACATTAAATTCACCATGAGAGAAAAAGAATCAGGCAGCTAAATTCCATTCTTTGATGTCTTACTTAATCAAGAGAACTAGTACAGGAAATTTGGAAACGCCAATATACAGAATATCCACACATACAGGACAAGTATTTGAATATAACAGCTAAAACCCAATGAATCACAGAAGAAACTATGTGCAAACATTGTTTGAAACAGTCTGAACACACTGTAGTACTTCGGTGTTGAAGATAATAGAAGGGAAATAGCTACTAACTGTCTTCAGGAAGACTACCCATTACAGAGTGTTAAAACTCAAGTCATAACACCAACAAGAAACCATGCTCAAAGACCACAAGAAAATTTATTCTGCCACACTTTTAAATAATATCTCTGAAATAATGGCTAGAATATTAAGAGCATTTGAGATAGACATATCACACTAGGCAACATAGTCACTCCATTCAGTACAGCACCGACCACAGCATCAATACTATTTACATAACATATTGCATAAACTATACGCTATAGACACTACGACGGGCAAAGTGTGAATCCCCTTCGAGCTCGAATGCAAGAACACATATTAGTTGTGGAAGGAAATTATATGTTTCATTCTCTCATACTGTGGTGAGAGCAGGCTGCTAGCCAATTGGTGAACATTAATCGACGCTGATTGGTAGACATTGATCTAGTCTGATTCAACAACCAATCACAGCAGACTTAAACGTGGGCAAATATGATTCGCAGATAAATGGCTCTACTCTCCGAGAAATATCGAAAACAACCAATCAGAAGACTGTGTTTGTCTGCTTAACTTCCGAGGAACAACCAATTAGAATACTGCCTATTTCTGCTCTCATAAGCGCGCGCTTTTCGACTACTGCGTTACATTTTCCTTATAAATAAAAACTCTCGTTTCTGTAAAATTTTATGCCAACAGTTTGTGGAAACTATCACAATTATTTGCCTTTCGAACACTGAATCCAAGAATACAATCTTATTGACAGATCATACATATAACTAACTACTTGGATTTGTGGAATTTTTCAACATAAACACATCTATAATTGTATATATGGTTGGATTTACATGTTCAAGTTGCTCCAAGTCAGTGAGTTTATGGTTGCGATATCATTTTAGTTAACTGTGCTGAACTATATTGCATGTTGTTGCATTGTATAGTTGTTGTCGCTTTTTGCCCTTTTTCTGTGAACTGTCTCCTTTTGTTGGTGTTGTTCTCATTGTTTTGTCAGTTATTTTCCGATCTTGAGGGGAGCAGCCAGAAAAAGTCGCTTCGCTCTAAACTTTATCTTTATGTAATCATTCCTTTCTCAGGCGCGAGGCTAGCAACCCCACCCTGTAAACAAAATTGCTACAGAACCTTCAGCAGAATGAACCTCTTTGCACCAAAAACAGACCTGGAGCGGGGTGAAAAAGTTGTCAGAAAAAAAAGGCAATGGAGGTGCGCAGCTGAAGCCTTATGTTCCTCTAGGAACTAAAGGATACTATAATAATAATAAGCCTTATTAATGTACATAAAATATATATAAATACGCGTTGATTTTGGTAATAAAACGATCTGCTGCCTGGCCCTTGTCTTCTGTTGCTACAATACCAGCGCAGGTAGACAATCGTGGACACCAGTTCGGTTGGGAGAATGTGGAAATTTTAGACTCGGTAGAAACACAAAACTGTCAGGGAATTTCTAATAGCCTGGTTCTCAAATGAAAAACGATGACTAACAGACTCACACATTACTGTAGATCAAATTGACCAACTAATAAAAGACGATTTTCAAGTATTGGTTTTGTAGAGATTTTGTTTGATTGCATGGAGCATTTCATCATGAGGTGAAATCAGTCAGAGAACCATCAGAAAATAAGCTGGGAGTACTGGACAGCTGTTTCGTCCTAGTTTGGGACTCTTCATCAGTGTGCGCCCATCGGGGTTGGAACCTAGCACTTTTTGGTTACAAGGCAAGCTCGTAGGGTACAGCAGGTTGAATATGAGGAAGTCACTCATCTAAGGAGACATCCCGAAATGATCTCGCTATGTCATGAATTGGCAGAAGTTAGAATTCGAGGACCATTGGTTCGGGTTCCAGTGGCTCAATGGTCTACCCGCCAGCTCGCCTTGTAACCAAAAGGTCCTAAATTAGAACCCCGTAGTGGGGATGCGTACCGATGAAGAGTCACAAACCAGGACGAAACAGCTGTCCGATACTCCCATGTGCGTTGGTGGCACAGTGGTTGGGACCCTCACCGACCATGCACATGGTCCGAGGTTCCATCTCTTGCCAACGCACACCTGATATCTATGGTCGGCCTGCAAAGTTTGAGCTACCGATATCCATGCTGAAAGTTCCATACCTGTACCGAAAGTACACTGTGGAATCAAGCTGTAATCAAAAGTAAATAATATAAAATAAAATAAAAATAACTGATGTCGGCACATGATGAAATCCTCCATGTAATAAAAGACGAATCACGTAACAAGAAGGTTCAAATAAAAATGATCAGTAGAGATGTAAATTGACAACCATTCACGACAATAGTCGCCAGAAGATATAAATAAATCATTTCGCTGAAGATGTTCTCTAGCAGGAGGGGGATGCAATGAAAGCTTCCAAACCCAGAGAAAAAAACTAAATTAAAAAATTAAGATATCATGTTTTCATTCAAAGATAGCAGTGACTTACGTAAATCTGAAATCAAGTAATTTTTCTGTATTTCATCATGTTCATCAGTGTTTCTAAATGCAGGCATAATAGACGCACCAGATACAATACCTCTATTACCATGGTGACCAACTGTTTGTTTCAACAGATCATTTGACAGTCCAGATGCCGTAGGAATATATTTATCCTTATGATGGTGATGTTGATGATGTTTTTGCTGCGGTTGTTGCAGCAGGTGAAGATGTTGTTGGTTATGATGACTTGATCTACTCTCTCCAGCGTGTTTCTTCGATTCGTGTTTACGTTTACGTCTACGTTTTTGATGAACTGGATGATACCACCAAAGACTTTCTTCACTTGGACTTTGTTGTTTATTCAAATATGATGTGGGTTGGAGACAATCTTGACAAACTTCTGGAGTTATTTCAGTGGAATTTACATTAGTAGTTTTAACAACATTATTATTATCAGTGTTAATAATATTGTGAAGCTTTTCATGTTCTCCACGAATATCATCAATTAAAAATTGCATGCATTCATTAGATGAATCTGTTTTACACAATGTTGAATATAATTCATTTGTGGCGTGAAAACTCTGTAGTTTACATGAAGAAAACAAAAGGTCAAGAAATGGTAGTTAGTGACATTGATAGAGACAATAAAGTAAAATACTAAAGGAGATCAATAATTTTGATGAGTACTGGATAAAAATGTATATGGCGTGATCGATTCTAATTTCTAATAATAATAATAATAATTTACTTTATTCCAAAAACAGTACTTGTGATACAGATTGGAATTTTCAACATTATTCAGAATATTGCATCTAATTTCCACAAATTATAAGTAAAAATTAATCACACAGAAAATTTTCCACATTTACAATAGAGGGAGTGTCAAAAACATGCAGCATATAAAATGGAAATAATAATATTAATAACAGCCAAGGTAATGATAATAATAATACAAGTGACAATTGCTGTCGATTGGGTATAGAAATCCTAACATGTTTAAAATTATTGAATATAATGTTCTATTTACATGATATGGTGAGGGGAAAAACAAAGATTACAGCAGTCATAGAGATAAGTTGGTGCTTGCAATTACATGAGTAAAACAAAGAAGCAACAAGACCATAAATATAATAGAAATAATAAAAGTAAAATTTGAAGGTATATAAGGATGGATGGAGGATACTGTTTATTTACTAGATGAAAAAAGGTTAGTTAATTGTTGCCTGACACTATTTTCATCACATAAAATACGTGTCAAGTATGGTATCATAGAATTTTTATACTTAGACGTGAGAGCATACAGTTTTCTGAAGTTGCTTCTTATTCTACCTGAGGAGACACAAGTCAGACAAAATCCCTTTAGCAGATTTATTGCACGAAGTCAAGTGCCTATCGACAACGACGTTAACTATGTGGTCCACTGGGACAGCACTCACCCTACTGACAGTCTTCAGCATTCTACGAATCGTGAAATAGTCCTTTTTAAGCAAACCAGGAAAGAATAAGGGTGAACAATAAAGAAGAATAGGTAGGATGCAAGAGTTTATGAATTGTAAGAGGAGGGGTTAAGTTATACCCGAGTGCCTTAACTTCTTAATGTAAAATGTCAGGCGGAATATTTTACTGGAGATCGCTAAGACATGGGAAGACCAGGAGAGATCAGAAGAGGGGATAAGTCCAAGATACTTGATTTCTGATTTGATTCCTATATCATTGTCGTCAATCTTACAACTATCATGAGAATCGATGACTTCTTTTAACTGTCTTTTACATCTGAAGCTAAAATTAATAGTTTGACATTTAGAAGGATTTAGTTTAAGAGCGTTAGACCCAGACCATTTGCTGACTCCCGATAGAAAGCTATTTATTTTAGTGCAATCTAGCTGGGAGTTAACAGTCATTGAAACTGTAAAGTCATCAGCGTACTTCACAAAGTTTATTTCATCAGAGTGAGGCAAGTCATGCAAGAAGAAAGGGAAAAGAAAAGGAGAAAGGACAGCGCCTTGAGGGACACCAGCTTCAGCAGGCAATGAAGTAGAACTGAATGATTAAAACGAAATAAATCCGAGGAAATAGATGCAATATGTAGGATGGAAATTTTGGTAGCCCAAGATTTAGGCAGGCCGCCGTCTTATTCTTCTGATGTATCCTGGTTTTCCCTGATTTCTAAAAGAATATATCGTCTGACTTTTGACATTAAGAAGTTAAGGCACTCAGGCATAACCCAACCCCTCTGTTATGTACTGCTGCTGAGTGAGTTGTTAGAGTTTTTCCTGTCGCCAATTATGTTATGTACTAGTCGAGTAGTTAATAGTCCTGATGTGGAAGGAGGGAAATCAGAAGACCACGAGGTTTACGATGATACTTGTATTTTCCAGACAAGGAAAATAATTTTCACACAAGACTGTGAGTGAATAAGTACGAAATGTACGGACGTGACAACAAGAATATATAAAAGTGTACAAAGCAAGAGTATATATGAAAATGGCTAATACACATGAACCAATAAATAACCAGTCTTAACATGATTGGTTGTAATGTCATGTGACAACAAGGTCATACATGTTTATTTAGTTAGTGGACAGACAAAAGCATATTGTCAGTTATGATGGAATATCGAACCATATACACATAGCAAAATATAATAGACTGTCAAAAACAAACACACATCATGTGAGTACATATCACCCTCTTCTTCTTAAAGCTTGTCAACTCGCGTATTTTACCTAATATTCTTTACTCTTAAACTTTATTCTTTCCTGGATTTCTCAAGGAAGACTATGTCATACTACGTAGAACTCTGAAGACTGTCAGTCAGTAGGGCGAGTGGTATCACCTTGGGCCATATCGTTGACATTTTCGCTGATAGGCATTTGATGTCATGCAACAAATTTGCTAAAGGAATTTTGTCAGACTGTGAGCATCCACTTTACCCCACAGCAGCTCCAACCTTGTGTGTCCTCAGGTAAAACAAGAAGTCATTTCAGAAGACTTTATGCACGTACGTCGAAGTATAAAAATTCCACTATACCATTTTTGGCGGCATGTAATTTATGTGATGAAAATAGTGTCAGGCATTAACTAACTAACCTTCTTTGCAATACTAAATAAACCATTTCCTTCTCCACCCTAACAACATCAAGCTTTATTGTTATTGTTCTTATTTTTATAATCCTCTCAAGTTGTTTTCTTTATTTGTTTATTTTTTCATAAGTGGGAACATCATTTAAGCTGTGTCATAACTGTTAATTTTATTATTTACCCTCACTATACTGCTATATCAACAGAATATTAGATTCGATAATCTATAAAATGCTGAAGTTTCTAAACTGAATCGACACTACTGTTTGAAACAAACTCACTGTTATTATTATTATCATATTTAATATTCTCAATTCGTGCTTCGAATATATCCGACTTTATACCGTAAACGCTGACAAATTTCTCTGGTTAATTTTGTTTTAATTTTTAGTTTCATTTATATTTTAAGTAAATCAGTTGCAAGGTATTATGACAAATGCTGAGAATTCCATTCTGTATTATAAGTACTGTTTTTGGAATAAAGTATATTATTATTATTATTTTTATTAAATCCGGATTACCTTCTGATCATGACATAAACAACAAGAAGAGAATTGGTGCAAGGGACGTTAGAGATATTGTTGAAATTGTTCTAGTTGTTGAATGATAAACATGCTCACTTCATAACCACCCGTAGGTGTCGTGCATTCAAACTGTGATAGGTTTATGAGTAGGCACCGCTGAAGACTGCGGTATCGGGACGAAGCAACTGTCGTTTAGTATCCTCTAGTTTCTAGTGATTCTCTGAATGATACAAGTTGGCGATCAGAGGTGAAATCATTGAAATGTTGACAAAATATAAAACTTCAGTATATCTATGTGAAATTATAGCAGCCTATGTGAAGTATCTTCTGAATGGACTTCAAAAACCAATCATCATGGCAAGAGAATATTAGGATTGGTAAATGAATGAATAAACTGTGCTCTCAGATAAACAGCCAACCTCATTCCCAGTTAAGTAACATAATAACCGACCATTACTTGTGACTCATCCATAAATACCATCAACAGCACGCACAGAACTGCCAGTGGACATTTATCTTCCAACAAAAACTGAAATTTAGAATGTAATCGTGCTACTGAAAGCCAGGAAGGCATCAGGACTAAACAAGATTCCTCGTGAAGCGGATCTCGAGGTTGCAGTCAACATGCCTGCGCTACTACTGCAAATAATTTGCATGGAAGTAAAGGTACCTACTAACTGGGAGAAAGGAAAACTTATCAAACTACCAAAGAATAAGGGTGAATCAAGTATCTGCAAAGTTTGACTCAAAATCATACTGTTGTCGACGCCAAGCAAGATATTAGGTTGCATCATCCTTGAGAGAATAAAAGGTATATTGTAATTGGAACTACGGCTAATGGAACAAGCTGGGATCAGGAAAAGCAATTTATGTGTTGATCAAATTGCAAGTTATTTTGATTGACTGTGAAAAGTCTTTCTGCAGTGAAGGTTGAGAAATAGTTTGAAAACTACCTCAACAAGATGGCTTGCCTTAAAAGTTTATCTGCCTCATTCAACAGCCAGACGACTATCGCAGGTGCCAAGTGATCCACAAACGAAAGTAATGTGAGAGGGGAAGATATGAAAAGATTAGCTGTCTTTGATCATAGGTGTCTGCGCTCTATCTCCCGAGTGAAGTGATGTAATAAGGCGAGCAATATTGACGTTAGGCACGGATCGAGTTCTAGATAAGGAGGGGAAATTAATCGACAATGCTATGAAGTTACACCGATTGAGATGGTAAGGATATGTGTTGCTTATACGTATGCCTTGTCATCGCCTTCCTCGACAACGGGCAATGTTAGCTGACATAAGATCAGACTGGAAAAGAGCTAGTGGCGGTCAAACCAAAACATGGCCTCATCAGTCAATGAAATCTACAACAGTTAGTTTAAGCCAGCCACGTAGGAAGGTGTAGACTTCCTGACTGGTTGGGGTCCTCGAGACGGTAAAAAACAATGGCTCAAAATCGTTCTCAATGGCTAGCGCGAATGCATCCACTTCTTGTGACTTGTGATTTCGAATGAAACTGTTTTGTTCTTCGTTATTACTATTCCCTTGTCTCACACTTCTGTTTACTGTCTCTATTAAGCTTTTCTTGTACTTTCCTCTCTTGCTTTGTGTGCTACAAGGAGGGAGTGTGGCAACTTGAAGTACTGCACATATGTGCAAAGTTCTATGTTGAAAACAGACAGATAGACAGACAGATGTGAAGCCTTCGAAGTGAATACAGCAATAGGACAAGGCTGTCTGCCTACTGTCGCTGATGATATTAGTACATATAACTGACCGTGCATGGGAAGGGAAAGGATAGAAATATTTTTGGACAGACAAGAAGACTTTAGAAGACCTGAACTTTGCAGATGATTCATATCTAGCGTAACACAAACTCGACGACTTACAGGCGAGAACCAACGGGTTATCAGTAAGGGATTGCAGCGGAGACAGCTATTCAAGTGATCATGGAGAAGACGGAGGCTTGAAAGTAACCGACAAACAAAAACAGTCACCATTCGGTGTCAACGGGATAAATATGAATGAGGTCACTTCCTTTACTTATCCAGGCACCGTTGTGTCAACTACAGGCACACACAGAAGAGTTTGATCAACAGGAATAAATTTGCCACAAGAAACTTTGGGAAATGAATCAGTCAAGAACCTATCACAGTCGAAAAATTATGCCGTTTTTCACTGAAACTAAAACTTTACAATGGTGCCAGTTACAAACTTTTCAATAACGCTGAGAGTGAAACCATAGACAGTTACCAAGTATCCTTCTTTTTGGAGCTGATATGTCAGTGTAAACTGATTATTTCAATTTGATGAAATGAAATAAGGGAAAATTCAACAATTTGAACAAAATGTGATGGATGACTGTATACCAAAGTACTGAATCCATTAATATATCAACTTCATCGACTTTGAAAAGGCATTCGACAGCGTCGATCGAGAGGTCATTTTGCGACTACTTCGCTACTACGCGGTGCCATCGACAATTATACATCTCATCCAACAGTTATACGACAATGCTGCATGCCAAGTAATCCACAACAAGAAAGTTACGGAATCCTTTGAAGTGAGGACGGGAGTGAGGCAAGGCTGTCTACTATCGCCAATGATTGTCCTGATTGCAGTAGATTGGATAGTGAGACAGAAAACGGGCAATGAGGAGACAGGCACAAAGTGGACTCACACAAAAAGCTTGGAGGATCTGGACTTCTCCAATGATGATATATGTCTGATTTCCCACAAATTGAAAGGTATGCAAGTGAAAAGCAACAAGTTGGCTGAAGAGGCATCAAAGATAGGACTCCAAGAAAAACATAGAGAAGACAGAAGTGATGAAGATTCCTGGTCAACACCAACTGCAGCAACAACAGCAGACAACAACCAGCATAAATGGGAGGGACCTAAAAGAAACAACCTCCTTTACCTACCCAACTGGGAAGCATCGTTTCAACTACAGGCGGACGGAACTGACGAGGATATCAAAGCCAGAATCGGAAAAGCAAGACAAGCTTTCATTACTCTTAAGTTTGTGTGGAGATCAACAGTACTCAGAATGAAAAATAAGATCCGGATTTTCAACTCCAACATGAAGTCAGTGCTACTATCCGGATCAGAGACTTCGTGCCGCGTCACGAAGGGCAGTTCAAAGAAACTACAGACCTTCATTAACAGTTGTCTTTGGTCAATATTCAAGATCAGATGTCTAGCCAGAAAAGATCAGCAACAGGCAGGGATCTCTAACAATGAGTGAACCAACCAGGAACCGATTGCGAAACAAATAGGCAGTAATAAACGGAGGTGAATTGGCCATACTCTGAGGAAACCATCAAGTGGCATCACTAGACAAGCCATTGCTCGAGTGTAACCTGAACGGGAAGCGGTGAGTTGGTCGTTAATATGAGTGAGGGTGACTTGGAGGAGGTGATGTGAAGAGGAGATGAAAGCGAGTGGTCAGATTTGGAGCGGGGTGAGAATGTTGGCAGAGGGCCGAACGCAATGGAGACTTCCGGCTGAAGCCCTACGTTCCTCTAGGAATTAAAGCATATAATAATAATATTAATATATATATATATATATATAAATATATATATCAGCTTCGTGTCCTTTAAATACAAACGCAATATGATGAAGTGCTTGGTTCATAGAGCAAGAGCAACCTGCTCGGATGAATGTCTTGATGAGGAACTTAATAATAATAATAATACACGGTTGCTGATTGAAAACCGTCATTCAGAAAAGACTATTGATAAGAACATGAATCTAAAATCAAAGAAGCCCAAGGTACCAACAGTTCCTAATAAGGCCTTATTCTTACAAATGCAGTTCCTTGGAGACAACATCAGCGAGATTCTAACACAACGCCTTAGAAATGCAGTAAAAAAGAGCATTCCCTGCTACCGAATTACTGTTTGTCTTCAAAACCAAGCACTCCTATTTTGCATTCGGGAGTAAAAGATAAAATTGCCCAATTTCTCCTCTTCCATGTGTATCTACCAATTTTACTGCTCCCGTGGAGCCAATTACATAGGCCGTACAATAAGTCATGTTTGTCTTTGGATTTCTGAACATCACCTTGTGTGTTTAAGTAAAGGACAAACAAAATCTATTCGCAGCGCTATTCTATCTCATCTCGTGGATACAGAACACAAGATTGATGTTAACCAGGCTTTCGGAGTGATTCACCACATACCAATAAATCTCAATTTTGCTTTAAGAGTTCGACTACTAAATATTACTGAGGCTATTGGGATCCATATTAATTAAGAAGCCAAATTTGTGCATCCAAAACAAGCTATTTCAAACATTGTCCTTACCTTGGTCGTCTAGGTTTGAATGATCCTGAATTTTTATGGACTATTTCTAATTTTAGTTGATATTCTATTTGCTAATATATCTTTACTACTAATATAATTTAAGCATCTTTAATCGAGCAGGCAGGGATATCCTGGACTGACGTGAAGAACCTAGAAGAACTGGGTTTTGCGCGTGGATGATGTATGCTTGATGTCATACAAAATCGAAGACCTACAAGCGAAAACCGACTAACTGGTCGAAGAAGCAGCAAAGACAGCACTCCAGGTGAACACAGACAAGACGGAGGTGATGAAAATAACCAACAACAACAACAACAACAACGGCAACAACAGCAACATCCAGCGTCAATCACCATCAACGGGAGGGATTCGAAAGAGCTTAGTTACTTCATTTACATATCTAGGGAGCATTGTTTCAACTACACTCCGTCGGAACGGACGAGGATGTCAAATCGAGCGAGAATCGGGAAGGCATCGAGAAACAGATTCATCAACCAACCTGAAACCAATCTGGAAATCTTCGTCACTCAGCCAGCATCAACAACAAAATCCACTCTGATTTTCAATACAATCGTCAAGTCAGTCAGTTCTTCTATATGGATCAGAAACTTGGCGGGTGGGTCACAAAGAATATTTCCAAAAGCCTGTTGCAGACCTTTATCAACAACTGTCTTCGCTGGCTCTATACTGAAGATCAGATGGCGAGGTCGGAAAGAATCACCAACAAGAGACAACTATGGGAAAAAACAAACAAAACAAGAACCAATCGCCCAACAACAGCAAATATGCAGGAGAAAGTGAAGATGGATTGGACACTCACTGAGGAGGCCGCTGGGTGGCATCGCGCGCGCGTCAGGCCATTCCTCGAGTGGAACCCGAAAGGGAACCGGCGAGTTGGTCATCAATGCAAAGGTGACATGGAGGAGATCGTGTGGAGAGGAGTTGAAACAGTATGGAATAATATGGATGCAGGTGAAAAGTACAGCAGAAGACAGAAGTGGTAAGTGGAGACGTGCAGTTGAAGCCCTATGTTCCACTAGGAACCCAAGGGAACAATAATAATAATAAATCTGTACATTCCTTATTTTTAACTCACTTGTGGTAAGCTAAGTGGACGTGATTGATGATGGTGATTATTATTATCGGAATTGTTATTCCTTGTTAAATGACCAAGTGTATGACACATGATTGTTCCACGACTTGTTGTTCTTACAGGTGGAAATGGTGGATTTTGACTATAATAAATATCATTTTTCTCAGATCCGCCTTCATCATCATCATCATTTGGCTGTAACATTTCATCATTAAGATTATGATGATGTGGATTAGACGATGCATCACACGTCTTTTCATCAGTATAATATTCTGAATGACGTTGTTCTTGTTGATGGTGAATACGTTTTTTTGTTGGCTTTTGTGGTCGTCGAATTTGCCAAGGCGAATTCAATGGACAAATTGGTGATGAGACATCAAGCATTTCATTATTAGTTGTACAGTCTGGTCGATCAATTGAAGAGGGATTATAACTGTCGTGTGAATCATCATTATTTACTGATGACTTGATCCAGTTGTGCTGACCCGCTGCTGCGGCTGCTACTGATGACGATGTCTGACGGTAGTCAGTTTTATTCACTTGTGGAGAATACAAAACAGGTAAAGGGGATGATATCATTGACGGGGGATAGATCGGTTGTGGTGAATTCGATAGAACTGGATAGTTTGCGAGGCTTTTAAGCTGATTTGATCGAATCATATTAGGTGTAAATGATGCTTTACAGGTGAAATCTTCACCACCGCCATATTCATCACGAATACAATGTGGTGGAATGTATTTACGGTGTAAAGATGCACTAGCACTACCTGTCAGGGGAACTGGATACGGTGGGTTTAACCAAGAATCGCATACAATAGCAGATTTTGTAAGTGTATCAACTGTATTGTGTGCATAACTGATATTTTCTGATGGATATTGAGACATGAAAAGTTGTGGATTAGTGAATTGATTTTGTGGTTGTTGAGATTGGGCTTGCCGCTTGTTATTGTCTGATAATGGATTACTAATAATCCGTATACTGCATTCTTGACCCTGGGAAGTAATGATGAAGGTAAAATCAAATATTCAATATTATTTACGAAAAGATTGGAACAGTAAAGTTTATGCATATATGTGTTTACATGTACAGCTAAGCAAACGATCTTTTACCTAATTTGTCATTCTTAGATCGCACAGTTCGTGGTGGAAATTCACGATAATGTAACTAGGAACAGATGTGAGTGGAAATGATAGCGAAAAACTATTATATGAGTAACTGGCAATAAAAAGCCTTCAACAACCACTATTATAATGCTAGTATGCTCTTGCATTTTGAGTGGAATTTATGACTTCCAAAGCCCATCTTCAATGTGTTCTCTTCTCTGTAATTCTCGTTTCAACTTACCCCATGGGTGAGTGACCATAACATTTCATCTCTTTCACACACTATGCCTTCCATGTCACCGTCGAATCTTGAACACCAAACTTGTTGTTTTCCATCCAGGCCCTGCTCAAGTGACGTGCTTAACCATCGCCTCCACCGGTGATGGGCATTACTAGCTGATATAGGTGGTGCAGGTTGGAAAAGAGTAAGTGGTGGCCAAACAAAAACATGGCCTCATCAATCCATGAAATCCTTGACAGTTAAACTGAGTCAGTCAGGTTGGGAGATTCAGACTCCCGGGTTGAGGCCCTCGGGACTCTAGGAATCAATGGCTGGAGACAATAGGTGACATGGCTCAAAATCGTTGTCAATGGCCAGCGCAGATGTATTCAGTCTCTGAAATATTTCATATTCTTTTCTACCATTACTCATTCTGTTTCACTCTTATACTTGTCAAACTCTATTGATTCTCTTCACTCATCTTCTTGTCTACCTTTGTGTGGTATTTGGAACGTGGCAACTCGAAGTGCTGTACTTCAGTGCGAAGTTCTATGTTGAATCCAGACAGACAGAGACAGAGAAACGGCGGCCTGGAGCGAGATTTCATCCAGTGGTCTCCTTAGCGTGTATCCAGTCCATCTTTATTCTCTTAGGAATATTTGCTGGTTGATTGGTTCTTTGCCAAATATTTTTGTTGTTAATTCCTCATGACAGGCCATCATCTGATCTTCAGTATGAAGCCAGTGAGGGCAGCAGTTGATGAAATTCTCTAGATGGCTTTTGGAAATTCTTTTCGTGATGCATGTGTTATGTTTTGGACCTATATAGAACAAAGGAGTGACTTTGCATTGGTGTTGAAAATCTGAATTTTGTTGTTTATGGTCCTCCATCGGAGAACAGAAGATTTCTAAACTGGTTTCATAGTGGTGATGGTCCACTTCACCTCCCATTCCTGGTTTTGATATCGTAACCTATACTGAGGGCCTGTGATTGAAATGATGCCTCCTGGATAAGTGAACGAAGTGACCCATTTTTGAAATTAACTCCATTGATATTGATTGGCGATTGTTGTTGTTGGTTGGTTATTTTCATTACCTTCGTCTTCGCTGTGTTCACTTGAAATCCTGTCCTCTCTATACTTCTTCTTCTTTTACTAGCTTGTTTGTCTTCTCCTGTAGGACACTTGACTTAAATCGTCTTCAAAGTTCAGTTTTTTTTTACAGTTTTCTTGTGGGTCCAATGCACTCCTGCCGTCTGACTCGCCACAATCTGCCGCATAATCTAGTTCACCACAATTAGGAATACCATCGTTGGTGATGGCAGGCTGACAGCCTTGTCTCACTCCTGTCTTCACTTCGAAGGCTTAGCTTAGTTTTTCATTGTAGATAACTTCACATGTGATATTGTTGTCTAGCGAACTACAACAAAAATAACCACTATAAATCAAATTTATGAAATGCTACTAAAACATAAAATAAATGCACACATAAATAAAATAAAACAAAATTTATCTTGAGAATGTAATGACTTATGCTTATGTTTTTTACGAGTTAAGAGATGTAAATTAACGAAATTAGTCAAGGAAATGAAAAAAAAAGTTGAAGATCATTGAAGCATATGAACTGGTTTTCAGACGATTGTTTTTCAGTTGAGTTTAGGTAAATATTTCGTTAACTGATTACGTCAGACCATAATGTCCAGTCTTTATTCATATTTTGTCTCCTAGTAAAGACTCTACAAAGATGTTGGAAGTTCAGCATAATGTTATTATGGCTGGCAGTGACTAAGAGTGGAATCCACTACTCGCATTTCGTCCTTCTTGCAACTCATCCTCTGAATATATCTAAGTTCTAAGTTAGAAATGGTGTTGCCGTTGAAAGCTCAGCTCTATATCTTTCGTTTCAAATGTCAAAAAAGGCATCAGATAGGCCACTTGTCCACGAGGATGGAATGATAGGTATTAGGTTTGAGTCTCAGGGAGAACACTATCTCTTATTGAGAGGGAAGGTACATCCAGCTGGTGAGTTCCAAACAGGAAGAAATAGGCATTCTGCATTCCACTGCTGGCCACCTTCTATGAAAATAGTATTCTTTATTTGGTTGGTTCAACACTAACACATATACATATATGTGTAGCTTCTTAACTGAACGCATAATTTAAGAATTTATCGGTGATACTGCTTATTAAACATCAGTGGTCGTTAACATCCATCAAAATGCCAGATGAGAGATAATTAACAAAGAAAATTAGGACGATAATTAAAAGGTGGAAATATTTGTGAAAATTAAAACAGGTGGTTGCGTAATGCATAGTTGGTATGTTGGAAAATAGGAAGGGTAAGCGAGTATTTAAATTATTAGCATCATTTACACAACAGCAATTACGGTTGAAACTGGAAAATTAACGCGATAATTAAAATAATAAAAATAGATTGAAAATATGACAGACGGAAGGGGAGTGACCAGGTTATGTAATCTTATGAAGATAACTAAGATTCCAGCAGCTCTTGAAGTATTTGAAACAAGAACTTGTAAGGCTAACCTGTGACATATGGATAAATCCTAAATAGTTAATGTTAGCTCTACGATCAATATCGAGGAAATCTGGTCGGAGAGAGAAACAAGTTAACTGTGTTTCACCTTTGTCTGATGATGTCAGAAAATCTTACTATAAGCATGCTTACTAATGGGGCTCCACAGTAGCCATCTGTTTGGTAGATACGCGTGCTGAAGTCAAATCTGAGAATTTTATTGTGATCTGTCGAACTAGGAACTGGTTCACCGCCTAACTTTTAGTACAGTGGATGCTACTTTCATGGAATTCAAATCTTACAGATAAAGTCTCCACGAAATCAGAGTTGTAAGCAGACCGAATTCTTTGGAGCTAAGGACATACTAACTCTACTCGGTTAGGAATTCACATTTTTGTCTAGAAACCCTGCAGATTCATTATTCTGGATCAATAAAATGAAGTATATATAACGGGCTAGTACATTCCTTTTTTCGAGTTTTATATCAGTGGAATTAAAGTTCAATCTACCAGTGTCTATTTCAGACAGCTCAGACGATACTCTCAAAGAAGAACTTCAGGTTATGCGTGAATTACTAAACGAAATGAATACTATTACCTACATTGCTTGACCTGAATTCGACAATTCACTCTTTCAATCTAATTTCTGGCTGTCAAAGGAATGCCGAAAAATAATATAATGATAATAGTCTAGATATTCTACTCAGAATAGCGCAGTTATCAAGGAAGTGGAAACTGGAAGTGATGAGTATTTCAATTTCCACCATTTCTATTTACTTTCACCACAGATTTACTAATAGAAGTGACATCGGTAGCCTTCATTGTCTCCTGGATCGACAGATTACGAAGAGAAAGTGTCGTTGAACAAGAGTGTGCAAGTCATATTATGTCTTTAGATGCAGAACCTGACAGTATACAAAGTTTCTAGACAATGATTAGGAATAGGAATATGCGTGTAATGCGGTTCACCTTTGTCAAACGTAAGATGATGCCTCAAGAATGGTCGAACGTGTGTAAGGATTCGCAATACGTTGAGAGTGAAATATGGATGCCGACCTGGATACAGATATGCTGGTCATGAATACCGCCTGATTACACCAGAAATAGCAGCTACCTGTTTTACCACCCCTCACTACTTAAACAAGAACACACAACGACGTGAGCCATAACATACGAATGATTAAATTTACACAATCGACACATCAGTTAGTCTGTAATCATGATCAATAAAATACTGGGTGTTATTTTATCCTGGTCAAACCTGATTGGCTCGTTTTTCAGACTGGACATCAACCATTTACGTGGGCCAAATTTTGATTGGTTAATTCGTAGGCTGGATACCGGTCAACATATCACCAACAAAAGAAAATCCACTCTTTATCTTTCTACATAGCAGTATGTCAACCTTCTCCTTATTTACAGTGTTTAATCAGCTCTAATTAGCTGACTGTTGACAGAATTTCATCATAAATACCAAAGTCTCATTCCGCAATCTTCAAAATGCATTATCTTTTAAATAAGATTAAAATCATGTTATCCGTCAGAGGATGTTTTTACTGTGAGCCAATTCCTGAGGCACCAGTCGATGACTCTGAGACATGACCCCTGAAAATGGAAGACATGAGAACTGCGGCAAGTTGAATTTTGTGCAAACATATCACGCTGGAAAGTCTATAGAATATTCTTCATGATGTGACTGGTAAAATCGCTGTCAGCAATATCGTATGTTGGTAATGCTAATAAAAAGGAAGAAAGTATGAGTTAAATTTACAGATGTTAGTTAAGAGAAATCAAATCACTTTTGATACCTGATAATTTCTTTGTGTAAATCCACCTGCATGACGTCTTAGATTACGTCCAAGTGTTTGACATTCACTTTTAGATAGATTAAATGTTGGAGAGAATTGACTAGACATTTCAGGCGTCAGATGTTTTCCATCTGGACAACCAAATTGGCCGGCACCGTTAACGCTTGTAAATAATAAAAACTGTGAGTCGGATTCAATTGTACTTGAACGTATAGTATCCTGCCATACATTTTCACGATATGGTGATTGTAATAACAGCATATCAGCTTCACCAACAGATAGGACAGCAGTTGTCGGATGCTTTTTTGATTCATTGAATTGTAATGAACGTTTATGTGAATGACAGTGTTTCGAGTCTATTTGACTAGGGTTAGTGTTGTTGTTATTGTTGTTCTCATTAGATGGAGTTGAATAATGCATTTGGGCATGAGAAAGACGCTGATGATGTTGTTTAAGGTTGTAGTCCTGATTGTTAGACTCATTTTGTTCACCGATAACATGTTGACGACCAACCCATACCCAACTTGAATCTCGATGCAATAAAGGCTGTAATAATAATAACATTAAAAAGCATATATATATATATATATATAAGACTATAGTCAATATTTGGTCTACGTGACACAGCTAAAGGATAATCTAGAAGACAGAGGAGTGTCCGAGAAAACAACATTCCTCTTTCAACTCTACAATTAAATATCAATACTTGTATTTTATTTTATTTGTTTTTATTTTTGATTACAACTTGATTCCACCCTGTTTATTTTTGGTACAAGTATGGAATTTTCAGCATGGATATCGGCAGCCCAAATTTTGCAGGCTGACGATAGATATCAGGTGTGCGCGGGCATGTACATAGTCGGCGAGAGTCCTAACCACTGTGCCACCGACGCACAGAATATTCTAGAATAATCATGAAGTCTTCAGAAAAGTTTGAAAAACTTTATGAACATATGTCTTTTTTGTAGTTCTTTATTGAATATGAGATGGCCAGTCAGAAAAAAATAGGCGACAGGCAACTATACAAAGGAACCACCTGAGAACCTATTACTAAACAAATATTCCAAAGATGAATGCAGATGGATAGGACAGACGCCATTGAAGAGAATGTCGAATGACATCGCGTATCACATCATCACTCAAGTGGAACTTGAATAAGAAACAACGATTTTGACGTATATCGGTGGATGAAATAGGGGGGAGGGCGTCGTGTGTAAAAGACATGAGAGAACACGGGCAATCGTCGGATAAGCTACAGGGAACCACAGAGAACCAGAGGATAACGTAGAGATATGTGGTTGAAGCTGTGTTCTTTCACTCGGAACTCAAGGGAACAAAAATATCAATGATAATAAAAAAATATTGATTTTTTTTAAATAGTACCGATTTGTTAAGATCAATGACACTACACTTTAAGAAAGATGCATTGGTTATAATAAGCCCAAAAAATGTAATAGTAAAATAGAATATCAAATAAAATTCAAGAGATTTATGCAGTAAATTAAGGATAGTTAAAACATTGATTGGTCAAAATAAGGAAAGCATCTGAACCAACTTCTTCTTTTGGAGACATAAGTTATCCAGTCATCTTAATGTGGATTCTCACAATCTCAGGAATATGGGTGACAGATGAACTATTGAGCTAAAATTAAAAGTTAGTCGGTATACAGTAGATAACTTTCAAGGCCATATTGACATTATTCTTGTGTTTCATATCCGAAGGAGATGAGACGGAACAGAACTAAGAATAGACTTTATTTGTCCCTTCATTAACCATGCACGATGGTGTTCAGAAATTCAGCAATAAGCATGCCTAATTATACTCCCCTCCCTAGTAACTGGCTCTAAAGCAGCAGTCAGGCTGATAGATATTCATTGGAGAAGCAAACTTAGGCAGTCTACCTTTAGCTCCCGAATGTGAAATGTGGGTGATTTTGAAGAGACAGCCTACTTCAGCGGTGTCAAATGCTCTTTTTACCACATTTCTTAAATGATGTGTTATTATTCCACTGATGTTATCATCACATGGGTGAGGGGGGCGGTTATCCTTTGCGAAATATTTATCATTAGTAGACAGAAGACAAGTAGTTCAGCGAAGAGTCTCTTTTCGGCGAATTCCAATCAATCATTAATATGTTGGTAATATCAGTGGTGACTGTGTTCTCCTAGATACATTTATTCATGGTGTCCAAATGTTGGTTATTGTACTACTCACAAATATTGGGAGTCTTTTGTAAGTACTGTGGGCATCAATGAAGAAGTAGTTTATGGCCACTGCAAGTCAGATTTATTCAAAAATGCCATTCCGCACGAAACATTCACTCATTTTTATGAATTCCTGATGACTAGCTCTTAACTTCGCATCACTTTCTCCACACTGGATGACCAGATTTTGATCACTTAGAGATTCAATATTTGCAGTGGAATGTTATTCAAAGACTATCTTAGTGCATAATGAAGTTCTACAAATAAGTGGCTATGAAGTGACTATAGAGGTAGACTGAAGATATACCTATAGTGCCAGTCAACACAAAACCTTAGTCTTGATTGTCCTCTGTTCATTAATTAACACTTGACATCAGGTGGTTATAACTTTCCCCAACTGTTAAGTTTTACGCATAATTTTAATTTCGTGCCATTCTACCATCAACAGTTCGATATCCAACTACGAGTTTAAAACAGTCCATAAAAAGCTAGTATTGACAAATCTTCGTCGGCGGCACAGCGGTTATGACGCTCGCCGGCCTTGCACATGGTCCGGGGTTCGAGCCCCGGCCGGCGCACTCCTTTACCTCGCTAAGCCAGTAGTGAAACTGGTAAAGAGGAAAGGTTGGGCATGAGGCTAGCAACCCCATCCTGTAAAAATAAACACTGCTACGGAATCTTCAAGCCTCTAGCTTGGAGCCCTATGTTCCACTGGAAACTTGAAGGAAAAAAAATTGACAAATCTTCAATTAACATCTTTCAGGTAACAAATAAATTGTCAAAAGCTTTTAAGTTACAAAAACTGGCAATGTCAAATACTCTTGCAATTCAAACAGGTCTATCCGTTGTTGCTATACATAAATTTTCTATTATGCTTCTCAATTTATCTGATATATATTCAATTTAGTGTGAAATTGTCTCTTCTTCTTTTATCGATTTAATGTTATTTAAGTCACTTATGATCTAAGTGACAATAACTCATTAATTATTATGGACTTATAACTGTATGACTTGATGAAAAAGAATTTATCCAAAAGAATATCCCTTATTAATTAATCATATTTTGGAAGGATAACTGTCACCTCTATCTGGCCAGACAATAAACTACGTTAAAGAAGTAGTCATTAGTTTACTACTAATATTGACTAATTCATACAAGTGGTTTAAATAGGATCGCTTAAGATTTCCATTTGAATGACTTATCAGCTGACAGCTGATTTGACCCATATCGACTTGTAACCCAAAGGAGGTGGGTTCAAACCCTAGTGATCTGTCTGTCTGTTTGTCTGGATTCAACATAGAACTTCGCACTGAAGTACAGCACTTCGAGTTGCCACGTTCCAAATACCACACAAAGGTAGACAAGAAGATGAGTGAAGAGAATCAATACAGTCTGACAAGTATAAGAGTGAAACGGAATGAGTAATGGTAGAAAAGAATATGAAATATTTCAGAGACTGAATACATCTGCGCTGACCATTGACAACGATTTTGAGCCATGTCACCTATTGTCTCCAGCCATTGATTCCTAGAGTCTCGAGGGCCTCAACCCGGAAGTCTGCATCTCCCTACCTGACTGACTCAGTTTAACTGTCAAGGATTTCATGGATTGATGAGGCCATGTTTTTGTTTGGCCACCACTTACTCTTTTCCAACCTGCACCACCTATATCAGCTAGTAATGCCCATCACCGGTGGAGGCGATGGTTAAGCATGCGCACCACGTGACATAGCCACCTCAATCTGTGTAACTTTATAGCCTCGTCGATTGATTTTCCCTCTTTGCCCAACACTCTACGCCTAACGTCAGCATTACTTGCCTTGTTAAACCACCTAACGTGAGAAAGAGATCGCAGATATCTATGATCGAAAGCAGTCAACCTTTTCATGTCTTCAACTCGTATTGGCCATGTTTCAGAGCCGTAGAGAAGGACGGGGCGGACTACTGAGCAGTACACACGTCCCTTGGTTGATAGCCAGATGTAACGCCTACGCAAGAGATGGCGTTAGTTAGTGAAAGCAGCCCGAGCTTTTTGGATCCGTGCTGATATTTCGTCACCAATCAGTCCGTTGGTACTGATACAACTTCCCAAAAAGGTGAAGTGGTCAACATGTTCTACCACTTCACTCTCTATCACTAAGCTAAGAGTTGACGTAGTCCAGTCCTGTAGCAGCATCTTACATTTTACAGGGGCGAATCACATGCTGCAGAACATAGGAAGATTGCTGCTCAAGGTGTTCAGAAGACTCTGCTGGATTTTGTCAGCATCCTCCCCTAACGGGACTAGTGAGACAGTGAACCCCAGTGACAGGTGAGTACTTCCGATAAGTCCCAAACTGGGACGAGACAGCTGTCCAGTACTCCTTCCTAGTTTCCAGTAGAACTCTTACTTAAATCAATCCGTGATCAAAATCTAAATAAATCAAATCCTTATAAAGTAACTTTTGAAAATTAATCTGATAGTTGCTAATGGCTGGCTACAGGACGAAGTTGCCTGGAGTTTTAGGGAGAAGTCGTTACATCAAGTCAGGTAAGAGCAATTACTCGCTTATTGCATCGGCTAGCGATTAAGCTATATATATATATATATATATATATATATATATATATATATATATATATATATATATATATATATATCATGAATTGGTAGAAGTTGGAATTCATGGGCTGGTCACTGGATCAGGTCCCAATGACTGAGTGGTCTACGAGCTACCCTTGTAACAGGAAGGTCATAGGTTCAAATCCTGGTAGCGGTTTCGTAATGATTAACAAATTAGGACTTAACAGAGAATAAACAAACTAGCGAAGTCTAGACTAGTTGATCCTAATAATATAGGAAATTTAGAAAAAGTCTCAACATAATCACATATTTTTAGATAGGATCAAGTAACATTATTAAAATCCGATATTAATAGGGTATAGAGAAAGATTAGTAACTGAAGATTTGATTGTTGAATCAACCAAGAAAGCATGCTTAAAGAAATGAGTGAGTACTCGTCTCAGACATGAAGATATTTCAGTCACCCTAATGGAAAGTGGTTGAAAGCGAAAGGAAATCCACATAAACCAAGCTTTGTACTTTTTCACTTACAAATGATGATGGTTCTATCGTAAAATGAAGGAATGGCAGTGAACATGCTCAGGATTCCTAGTTAGGCTGTAGCTAGAGAGGTATTTAAGCCAACCATCTGTCTCGGAGATAAACTTCATCAACTTTAGGAACCAATAGATTCAAATAAGAAAAGTAATATAATTTATCAAATACTATGTATTGACTTTAGCGAAAGGGTTCAGTTAGATTATTAAAACATAAACATTTAGATAGACATAGAATAATTGACCCTGCTAAGTCAAATAACTTAGAAAACAGCTTAGTCACTGCACTGCATTCACTGGCATGTACTCAAAAATCGGATTGGGACAGGATGAAACGATTTAAGAGTAATATATCTAATTGGAGAGGATCAACTCCAAAAATATACAACCGAAATGATGCTAGGCCTATACTGAAAATCATAGCAGGCAACAAGGTGGGGTGGGGGGGGGGAAGATTTATCAATTACCGGTTGTGCGTGGGTAGTTCAGTGGTAGGATGCTCACCAACCAGACCTCAAATGGACTAGGGTCCTATCCTCCTAAACTTCACCAAAGCCGGTAGTAAGGCTGGAAAACAGGAAATCAATCCACTGCTACTGAACCTTCAAATCTCTGACTTTAAGTTGTATGTTCCACTGGCAACGCTAAGGAGTGAAATACAAAAGTTTAAAATTGGTTTTGCAGGGATTTGATGACTAGTTACTGGTTTGATCACGAATCGACAATGGCTAGAAAATTACAGAGAAACCTAGAAGTACTGGACAGCTGTCTGCTTCTATTTAGGAACTACTCAACGGTAAACACGCAGTAGAGGGGTTCGAAGCCTATAACTTACTGGTGCTCACCTGTAACTGGCTCTATTCAGGAAGCAGTTAGCTGGAGTTCTAGTGAAACGTCACAACCAGCGGGGTCCACCAACTCAGGCAAGAAGAAGGTTACTAGTCTATAACAGTGGCTAGTGGTTGAGGTGATATATATATATATATCACGAATTTGCTTTTGGTTTGATTGGGTTCTCGTGGCTCGGGGGTCTACCAGCTCGCCTCATAACCGGAAAGTCTTGGGTTCGTGCTGACGAAGAGTTCGAAACTAGGACGAGACAAATGTTCAGTTGGTTTTCAATGGTTCTCTAATTGACATCAACACATGACCAGACTTGTAAATAACATATAAAGCAAACTTTGAAGCCATATCAATAAACCCATATGATTACGAACAATACGTTATATCTGAAACGTCATCGAGTAAATATTGATGTTTCACTTTATGATTCACTGTACGTATGAATTCATTACTCTCAAGTCTGTTCGGAGGTCAACAGCACTCACCATCAAAAATAAGATCCAGATTTTCAACTCCAATGTGAAGACAGTGCTACTTACTATACGGATCAGAGACTTGGTGCGTCATAAAGAGCACCTCAAACAAGCTTCAGACCTTCATTAACAGTTGTCTTCGCTCAGTACTCAGGACCAGATGGCCGGCCAGAAAAGATCAGCAACAGGGATCTCTGGGAGCGAACCAATCAGGAACCGATTGTGGAACAAATAGGCAGTGATAAATGGAGGTGGATTGGCCATACTCTGAGGAAACCATCAAGTGACATCACTAGACAAGCCACCGCTCGAGTGGAACCCGAACGGGAAGCGGCGAGTTGGTCGTCAATACAAGAGTGACTCGGAGGAGGTCATGTGAAGAGAAGATGAAAGTGAGTGGGCAGACTTGGAGCGGGGTGAAAGTGTTGGCAGAGGGCCGAACGCAATGAAGACTTGCGGCTGAAGCCCTATGTTCCTCTAGGAACTAAAGGAAATAATAATACTGTGTGATGTAGTGTCATTAACAGAGTAGTATAGAATTCCGTACTACCACAGTATCAAAATTATACACATATTTCTATCGACACCCTGAGTATCTCGTAAACAAGACGAAAAAAGTTAGAATTTTGAAAAACAAACCTTCAACCATTTACAAATTTTAAAGAAATATCTCACTTTGTGTTTTTGACGACTTGTAAACATTGATGTAGCTGATCGTTTTGTACGCTTCCCGTTTGTGATACCAGCTTTATTATTATTATTATTATAATTACTGTTATTATTGTTGGAAGTAGTGAGAAGTCTTTCTTGATTCTCTACATCACTTTTTGATCGATGCATTCTTTTACAACTAGATGAAGCATGCATCGAAGACATAATCTGATTGTTATCGACAATTTCATCATCATTGTTCAACAGTCCACTGGTAAGGGGTAGCGATGGAGATGGTGTTTGACGATTAATTGATTTGTTGCGTTTCTTACGAATGCAACTATTAATAGTATTGTTAGTGTCATAATCAGTAGCATTAGTATTATTATTATCATCAGTAGTTCCTGCATTACGTTTACTCGTATTCTTCTTTTCCCAACGATAACGTATAACAACAACACCACAGTTGACAGCAAATACCAGTCCAACAACAGCAAATAAACCGAGTAGGATGTACATACTCATTTCTAGCACTGGTCTTGCACTATTACTGCCGCTGTTAGCATCACCTCTGTCGTTAGTGTCAGTAATCTTACTTCTTGCAGTACTTCCACTACGGCTAGTCGTATGTTTATCTTCAATATCTTTTATCGCCTCTCTACTATCTGATGGAATATGTCCACCACCGCCGCCAACATCGGATAAAATTGACTGTCTGTCGTCTAAATGACTGTTTTCATCAGAATTGATAGAAGCTGAATGCGATGAAGACTTATCCTTGACGAAGGATGATGATGGTTGTGATGATGGCGATAATGCGGATGAAAGATAGTTTTGCTTTTGGTATACAGATTCATCAAATGAACCTTTCAGTCTTTTCTTATCCATGCCGGTTGTCATTGATGCCATAGACTGTGAACTGTAATAACCGGGAGAATCTTTAAATGCCATTGAATTGTGAATATTACCTCCTGTGGATTCAATGGTCTGAAAAATACAAATATATGAAATAGGGAAATAGGTTAATTGATGAAAAACGAAAGCACTGAGTATCTTCTTCAATAGGATGAATAACTTTCAAGTAAAGTGCTGTTCTAAAGGTTTTTATACCTCCGGTTTGTTAGTTTTGGTGAAAAGTTGATCAGATGTGGGTTTTCTTTTCTGTATTTCTTCACAACTCAAGATTATTTTGTGTTGAGCATTCAAGTAGACTGTTTAATTCCAATGATGACAGCAATCTCTTTTTCGTAAACAGACATGAAGTGGACAATATCTTCATTTTACCAGCTTTGTTCCTATCCAGTATAAACGTTCCCTAGTGGAATGTTTGTTCTCAAGGGCCCGAAAAATATGCACGAGTGACACATTTATGGGTGAGTTTTAACATATACATTCAGTTTTATTAGCTAATGGTTATCCGGAACACTTTCCACAGTAAAGAAAGTCCCCATCTCGAAAAGACAATTTCTGGCCCAAAATAAGCTATCTTTATTAACCTACCATTCAAGGGTGACCAGATTATGCAGTTGACAACTCAAAGACTTGAGTCAGCCATCAAATGCACATTCTACGCCGCATCACATTTTCTCAATCGCCGAACATTTTCGATCCCTGTATCTACAATTAAAGGACGAGATTCTGTGGACTTTACTTCAAACCGTATCTACAAGTTCACCTGCAGCTGTGATGACACACACATATATAGGTAGAACCAACAGAACGTTCCAATGTCGTAGAAAAGAACATGTCCCAAAATGTCTACTATATCATGTCGAAAATCCCAACGCGATTAATCTTAATAGACATCCAGTATCATCATCCAGTGCAAAAGACTTATTAATGTCAGGTCACAAAATCAATATTAATGACTGATTCACAATTATTTCATCGCATAACTCTAATTCAAGGTTGGTTATTGAAGGTGATGGAAGCACTTTGAATTAATCACATACAGCCTAAACCATGTGTACAAAATACAATAGGCTTCAATCTTCGCCTACCGTGTACTACTTGACCTATTTAAATATGATTGGTCATTAGTATGTACTTTTGTTTTTTATTTAACTGAGTTGTCGTCATGATCTTTATTTAATTATTATTAACCATCTTAGTTGTAAAGCGGTTGTAAAGAAACTACGAAATGATGATGTCATCTCGCGAAATTTGTCTTTTAAATGCCTTATTCAAATTTATCAAAGGGACTAACTTTTAATTTCAATAGCTTAAATAAGCATGGATGCAGTTTTATGTGGCAACTAACTGTGAAAAGACAATGCGTATACTTATTTCAATAAGAGTCTTCCTTAACTTTGGTTTTTATAATTTTTATGTGATTCAAAGTCTCTGTAGGGATTAGGTCGATTTTCCAGGGTAGGGTTGGTAGCTCCCCCCCCCCATACACACTCAACCTTCCCTTAACCACGAAGAACAAAACTTGGATTCCCAGTACCAGTGTTATGTCGGCAAAAGCTTCATCAGTATCATTTCTAACAGGCCACTGCAGATTTTTATCAACAACAGCCTTCACAACTGATTAAAGATGAAACGACCAACAAGCTGTCGAAAACGTATAAGCGACAAAGTCTTCGACGATTAACCAGTCGAGAACCTGTTGCTCAGTAAGCAGGTCAACGAAAACGGAAATAGATTGAACACACGCTAAGCAGACTATTGAGCAAAATATGGCACCAAGCAGTCGAGAGGGACCCAAATAGGAGGGTGATATGGAGGAGATTGTATGAGGAGTTGATGACATATTATGGGCAATCATGAGCCTGGTGAAGAGGATCGCAGAGAATAGGAAAAAGTGGAGATGTACTGACGAAGACCTATATTCCACCCAGAAGTCAAAGCAATAATAATAATGATCTTCCTATCAATGACTTAGCTGTTGAAAACGTTATAACTAAACTGTTAAATTAGACAAGTAGATTGAAGAGGCAGTTAAAACGGGAGCTAAACTACAAGAGCGGGGGGCGTATGAGGAAGTCACAGTGAGGACTAAAAGTGTAAGGCAGGAGTTTATTTCTCTGAAATCTTTATGAAGATCTGCTGCGCTCCATAGAAGGAATAAAATCCGAATTTGCAACTTCAACGTCTATTCAGTCTATTCTTCTACATGGGTCATAAACTTGACCAGCACATCACGAAAAGCGTCACCAACAGGCTACTTCAGACTTTTATCATCATCTGCCTTCGCTGACTCCATATTGAAGATCAGATGTTCATCTAGAAATAATTAGTAACAAGTAATCCTGGAGGTGAACCAAACAACAGTTAAGTGCTCAAAAAGTCTTCCGAAGAAAATGAAGTTGGATCGGACTCACACTGAGGAGATTGTTAAATGACATGGCACACCACACCAGGACTCACTTGAAACCCGGATGGAAAACGACAGCAATCTCGTTCGAGATCTGAGGGTGACATGAAAGGAATGATGTGCAAAAGAGATTAAAGCATACGGCCAACCATAGGGCCCACTAACAAAGACTGCTATGAGTTCGACAAGGTAAAAATGTGCTGTTAAAACTCTACGTTCTCCCTTGAACTCATAGGAGTAACAATTATATTTGTAAGTTTTACAAACTTTTTTAAGCACTGGATTGCTCTAAAACTTAGTTTGTTCTCTCTATTCATATTTTTTGATTCTAATGTTAATCCCGTCATTGACTTAACTGTTTCACGCTTCACTGGATTTCATGAGTAGGTTGTTAAATTTTCTCAGAAATGTATATAAATGCGCGCACATTTTTCGATGAATTCATAAATCTTTGATGCGTGTTTTCCTTTCATAATTTTTCTGCTCAGCTAAGAAGGAACTTCGACAGAAAAGTTTGTATGCATATTAACTAACTCAAATCATGTAAATATATGTACGAGTACTTTATCCAGGATGACTGGGTGACCGCGTCTTTCATAGGAAGCAAATGTCTTTGTGTGTGTGTGTGAAAGACTTATAACATTTAGTTATTTTAGAGTAGTAGTGTTGTGATAGCTGGCCTCAAGCCAAAATTGTGGACAGCAGTTTACGTCAGAGTTTTGTCCCGAATCGGGGTCATGAGAAAGAAACAATAACAAAGCTTATTCCTGAGGGACTCGCCAACCAGTTACAGCAGGATTAACGTGTGCAAATACGATTGGCAGATATATGGCTTAACTTTATGAGAAACGGCTACAAGCGGTACAGAATAACCTTTAGCAAGAAAACAAGAGATCGGAAGACAATGCTTCGCCGCTATCAGTAATGTATATAAAAACCTATAAGCACCCCTTGATTTGATAGTGTGAAATATTCGCGCATTATGTATTAAAAGTCAATCTGAACGAAGAATACCCTTTTCAATAATTTATCTTCTTCAGGTTCTTACAATCATAAAATATATTAATATTACTTGTCGTTACAATAAAGGCCAGTTATGCAGCGGATACATTCTTAACGTAAAATAACAGATTAGTTATGGGGTGTCAAAATAAATAGTCGTATTTGTGTGACAAACGTGCTAGACTGAAATCGATTACCAAAATATCGTAAAACGGGAGACAATGGTGGTGATTAATCATAATAGAATTGTAGAGTATGGGGTAGGAAAACGATTGACAAGTTAGTTCAAGGTTATAAAAGGTGTCAGGTGAGTGAATGGCTAGTACAGAGTGGTCTGTGTTAAACAGGAGATAGTAAGACTGGAATGAGAGGATCATAGTGAGATAATGAATATGTTAAATGAAACAGGTGGAGGCATATATTGAGAAAGGCGATTATATCACTAATAATAAGTCCGTATAAATGAAAATTCGATAGTATTGAGGGAATGTTTGCATAAAGAGCATAAATTATGACGAATAATAATAATAACTGTAATAATGATATTTATAATAATAAGCAAAGTAAAAAAGAAAAAAACCAAGAGGGTTAAGGGGAAGGAGCAATCACTGTGAGAAGAAGAATGATCAATCCAATTTCGGTCACGTAAGGAACAGCGTCTGAACGTGTTCTTTTTGGATACAAAGTTCCGGTTAAGTCGATCTTATTGCAACAGCTTCAGCTATGTGTAGGAGACGTTAGCGAACTGTACGTGATAACGATTTCGGAATTCGGTATATAACCCTGAAACCTGTGTCGACATCGATGCGATGTCTAGTATCGACCAGGTGTGACAGGATCGAGCTTTTTATGCACTTAATTTCCCCCTTGCTGGTAAATATTTTCGAACCCGTAGACGAACCTGCCTAATCGTGTGCACTATATAACTTGAATCACAAGAACAGTTGAAATGGTATGTGCATGAAGAAGAGCTAAGGTTTGGTAAAACATCTTTGAGTTGCTGGGTGAACATTGAATGACTACTGAAGGATAGACACACAAGTGCAGAGTAGAAAGTTATTATTATAGTTATTATTATTCGTCATAATTTATGCTCTTTATGCAAACATTCCCTCAATACTATCGAATTTTCATTTATACGGACTTATTATTAGTGATATTATCGCCTTTCTCAATATATGCCTCCATCTGTTTCATTTCACACATTCCTTATCTCACTATGAAACTCTCATTCCAGTCTTACTATCTCCTGTTTAACACAGACCACTTTGTACTAGTCACACACTCAGCTGACACCTTTTATAACCTTGAACTAACTTGTCAATCGTTTTCCTACCCCATACTCTACAATTCTATTATGATTAATCACCACCATTGTCTCCCGTTTTACGATATTTCGGTAATCGATTTCAGTCTAGCACGTTTGTCACACAAATACGACTATTTATTTTGACACCTCATAACTAATCTGTTATTCTACGTTAAAAATGTATCCGCCGCACAACTACGCTTTGATTTTCTGAATAATTGATCTCTTGCCTGGACCTTGTCTTTTGTCGTTGCAGTAGTAACAATAGTTCTAGGAATAATAATAATAGCAGTAATAACTCAGTAAATTATCTATTGTCTCCATTATATCAATAATGATAATTATAATAATCCTTTG